AAAAGAAAAAGAAATCCAAATCATATGCCGTAGATGGAACCGAGGACGAGCCACGGAAAAAGAAAAAGAGATCCAAGTCAAAAGCCGTAGAGGTTGGCGTTATGTAAAAGATGATTACTTGTTGGAGTTACCGTCTTTAAACCCGATTTTGTATGTGATTTACAGCTTATGCATGACTGAAAAACTAATAGAAGATATGTCTCGACATATATGAATCATTTGGCATTCTACCAGACCATATAAGACCCATTTTAATGAAGATGCCAATAATCGTAGGGAAATCATGTTTAGGTCTAATTGTTGGGTCTTGTTTCATCATTTTCTGAATGTTTGCATATGTTTTGTAACGTTTTTACACATTCCCAAAAAATGTCTACAATGAAAATGACAATTTTATATATGTATAATTATTACATTTTTTAAATAACATTTTGAAAAAGGAAAAATTTAAGGAAATTCAATTGACTTTAGTGTTTGAAATTATAAGTTCTTGAACAACAATTATTTAGAACAAATAAGTCCTTGAATATTCTAAAACCTGTTAAAACTCCTAGAACATTCTAAAATCTGTTAAAACTCTTTGGACTTTCTAAAACTAAAATCCGGGCTAGAAGTCGTCCACATGTGCAATTCCTCTCCCTCACCGCAATAGTATCTTGGGGTTTGCAGCGATAACTAGTACACATCGGTTTTCCAGTAAATTTCGCCCTCTGAGTCAAAATAAATATGTTTTCGAAGTTAATGCTAGATAAAAAAGATTTCGGTTATAGTTTTTCATACGATGGCCAGTCAAATAAAATAGATCATTTAGATATCTTTATGGTCTATACAACTAGTTAATAAAGTAAAATAATAGAAAAAAGTCAGGGAAAAAAAATAAAAAAGAAATATGTACAAGAAGGGAGTATTATTCTTTTTTGAAGTTTTAGTACATTCTTTTTTTAAAAAGAGTGAATATTATTTTATTATATGGTCTCTAAAGCATCTTTAACGGAGGTTTTTGAAGAATCTACTTTTTATTCTTACATTATTCTTAATTCATCAAATTAAAAACATATTTAAAACTTCATAATAATAGTTATTATGAAAACCTCTTTTACGAGTCTCGTATATTTTTCCCAACATCGATAATTATTAAAGTTTTATAATAAATATCAAATATATAATTTAAAAAACTAACAAAATATCATTACAAACCAAAAAGTCAATATAATAAATAGGGTTTTTGTTCAAAAACTCAAAAGATATAAAATTATTATAAAAACTCTCTCCAATGTTGGTTAGACATTACACTTCCTAAAAATGCTCTAAAGCATTTCTTAAACAATTAACATCAAATAACTTTGATCAATACTAAATCTCACATTATTTTGGAGTTGGTGAATAATATAACATGAAATTTGGTGGTGTATATATTTCTAGTTCACAAATTATCCTTCCAGTCTTATATTTACGTATTATTTATTTATTTTATTGTGAATGGTATTTTGATTATTATAATTTATTAATACTTTAATTATAAAATTATATTTAAATTAATTTATGATGTATGATTAGTTTAATTTTCATGTTTAAATTTATTTTAAGATTATTTTTTTAATATTTTGAAACACAATAACATATTTATAGTAAAAAATACCATTAAAACATATATTCAACATTGCTTGTTAATCTGTTGATCTTCTACTATTTGATAACAATAATTTTTCGGCTTATATTTGATTAAAATACTTAACATCCATATTTGATGTAAAGATAAAGCAACAAATTACCCATCAAAATAGATATGAAATATATTTTTAACATTTTGTTATACATAGAATTGTGAAAAAGAAAAATCCGCATTTCACCTAAAAACCAAAAAAAATAAACCTTAATGAAAAGTATTCGAACAATTAAATGATATAATTTCTTGGTCAAATCCTATGAAAAAGTGACATATTTTAACTTAATTTCTATGTGGGGTAACATACTTCAAAATTTTTATTTTTGTATCTAAGATGTAAATTTTTAAATATTTAAGTACTCCGGTAACCGGTTGAAAACTAATTTTTGATCAAAAAAGTTCATGTCACTGACCATGTTAGCGAATAATACTGATTTGGATACCACATCACTCGTCACATCAGCATTATAACCGGTTAATGTTTCAACAAGTTAGATATCAAAATAAAAGTTTTAAAAGTATGTTAACCAAAATAGAATCCAAGTTAAAATAAGTTACCTTTTCATAAAATTTGTTCTAATTCTTTTACTTAAATTGATTCTTACAATTTAAATTGCAATATTCAATTTTAATTTTTTTTTGGATAAAATGATTACGTTTCTGATTATTTCGGAATATTCAGAATCAAAATGTGGTTACAAAGAGATAAAAGGAAAAGAAGAGAAATAAGGTAAGGATGAAAGTGAAAGGTGGGTTATCCCACATCGGAGATTTAGAAAGAGAAGAGGCAGAGGAGGCGACCATATAATGAAAGGGTGTAGGAAGACGGAAAATCACGCAGCCACGCGGTGAGCACAAAGCGAACTATTCTTTCGCCTTTTACTAAAGAATACCGTGTGCTCGCCGCACACAGTGGCATACGCCTATTTTTGGAGAGTCCCTTCTACTGAAGGGCTCCAACAACCTAACAAGTTTTAAGTTATATTTATCTGACATTCAAATGAGATCATACCTGCAGCAGTTGAAATTGCTCGATATCATCTTCTAGCGAATTTGGAGATCAAAAACGATCTTCAATATCTTGTCGTTTTGAACTCCTTTTGCTGCCAAAAGTTAATATGAAACCCTAGTTGTTTAGTCAGAAGACGAATGAAGCTGTACTCGATAAACTTGGAGGAATTTAGCGAATACGATTGGTACGTTTCAAAGCGAACTAACGCATACAGTATGATGGAAAATCGTAACTCTAATGGATTCAACGGAGTAGTGAATTTGAATTTGATAACGAGAGAGACAAAAAAACGAACAATCAATCGGTGATCCTCTTCGTTATTCTACTCATCAAAATAACGAAATACAATTGCTACACTTGAATCACAAACGCAATTTCCGTTGAAAGCGAAACTTAAGAGTAAAAATACGATGGAATCTTCAATATCTATCGTTTTGAACACCGTTTGCCGCCTGATGTGAAGGAGCACCGATAGAACGCCCTAAATTTAATATGAAACCCTAATTGATTGTCAGAGCTTAGACGATTGAAATTATACTCGATAAACCTGGAGGAATTTAGCGAATACGATTGGTATATTTCAAAGCGAACTAACGCATACAGTATGATGGAAAATCGCAAAACTCTATTAGATTCAACGGAGTAGTGAATTTGATAACGAGAGAGACAAAAACGAGAAATCAAGTCGGTGATCCTCTTCGTTACTCCACTCATCAAAATAACGAATACAATTGCTATACTTGAATCACAAACGCAATTTCCGTTCAAAGCGAACTTAGAGTAAAAATACGATGGAAAATAGCAAAAATCAATTGGATTCGATGCAGTCGGTGAATTTGATCACAAAGTGAGACAAAAAGGAGCAATCAATAAATCATCCTCTTCGTTATTTCACACATCAAATAGCAAATACAATTGCTAAGTGCTCCAAATCACAAATGCAGATTCCGTTGAATGCGAACTAGCATAAACAATACGACGGAAAATCATGAAAAACAGAAGGATTCGATGCAGTATGTGAATTTGATGAAAGATAGAGACCACAAAAAGAACAAAAAATAGTCGGTGATCGTCTTCGTCATTCCACATCTCAAATTAGGGTTTATTAGAGGTAGAAGATCAATGAAAAGGTCTTTACCGGAGCATGAATCATGAAATCCCGACGAGCATCAACAGTCATCGTCATCGATAGTGGAATGGGCCTTCATTTGTGGACGATAGTGATGGATAGACAGTAGGGATAATGGGCTTTCGTTCAAGCACTAAATGTTTGTTTCATTTATTGGTTTGGGCCAGTTATTGTCATTTCGGCCCACATTCAATCAAAGCCGGCCCAAGTTCGAGTCCGAGTTCAACTCGGTTGAGTTAAGTCAACTCGATACGGAACTTCGATGAGTTGACAGGTAGCACTTCTCCGACTAAAAGAGAGCTTCCAAGCAGGAGCCATTGATGACAACTCAACTAATTTTAAACATTTAAGTATCCGGATAACCGGTTGAATACTAATTTTGATTTTAAAAAAATCATGTCATTAACTACGTCAGCAAACAATACTGAGTTGGATACCACATCACTCGTCACATCAGCATGATAACATGTTAATGCTTCAACCGGTTATCCAGATAATTAAATGTTTAAAACTTCACATCTTAGGTACCAAAATAAACGTTTTGAAAGTATGTTACTCAAAATAAGACCAAAATTAAAGTACGTTAATTTTACATGTAATTAACATATAAAAATATTTTTATATAAAACTGTTAAGAATATATTTCTTAATATTAAAATAAAAATGATTTGTCAAAATGTGTTATTGATATTTTAAATCTACTAGAAGCGTACTCGCGCAATGCAGCGAGATGCATCATGATTTTAATATTTCATTTTCTTCTTTATCTCAGTCGATATTATAATATG